CGTATTGGTTGTCAAAATCGACCAAGAAATGAATTCAATAGACCCCTTTCCGTGCTGCGCCCTCGCGGCCCGCGCGAGTGCGAAAGAGATTCTTTCTCGACAAAACAAACAACAACTACGCGCAGTGCATGCTGTAGCTTTTTGCAGTGCAGTACACTGACATAACTGCACTGGCTGTACATACAGTGTACCTTAGGAATATCCTGTTCCTTTCCAAGGCATGATTGTCGCTAGTGGGAGAACTCAGGCACCTGAAGCTTTCATAGAGGAAGAAGTAGTAGGTGAATGAGTTCGCCAGAAAATGGAACGCCAAGAAAATAGATACTGTTGCTTTCGGGCGCTCATGAGACGACGGCAAGATAGGACTGAAACGATCGACACTCTATCTCGACGCAAAAAAAACTCTTCTAGGAGAAGCTCGACGCGCTGTAGAGTTTGCAGTATTCTGCTGGAAGAAGACAAAAGAACTAAACTCAGACTACAGCATGGAGCTGAAGCACAAGCGAAGCAAAAGCTGAGCGAGTTCGAAGAAATGGGGAAACACAGGGAAATGAGTGGGCGATATGATCTTTACTACTTTAGCTCGAAGCTCGCGCTAAGACACGTGGGGGGCACGTGCGCCTACGGGTAGCGCGGCCAGCCACCATGTTTTCAAAATGGAGGTCGACGCTTTTGAAATCCGTGTAGACGATGGTGAGGGCTGAATTTCAACGTACCTCTCTTTAACATGAGCCAGCTGTAATGTCAGTGGTCGCATTGGTTTGATTTTTTGTTTGCTTGTAGGGCGCTGGCACCCACATCCATTGACCCATAAAATTTGGCACTGCTGTGAATAGTTTAGTCGCAAAGTAAAGATTCACGGGTAAAATGCCCCAAACTTTGAGATAGATTATTATTCAGCTTTCAGCAGCCCTGGGCGAGTTCTCTAGAGAAATGTGGGTCTTTTTCTGGGTGCCCTTGTCTATGTCCAGCTACGCAACGAGATGAGGATTGTCTTTGTCAAGTTCTGAGCTGCGAACAGGCAGAAAGGTGAGAAAATGTCGGATTTTGACCAGTTGGTCTCACCTTCCAATTTCAACGTACTTCTCTATAACATGAGCCAGCTGTAATGTCAGTGTCTGCATTGGTTTGATTTTTGGTTTGCTTGTAGAGCGCTGGCAGCCACATTCAGTGACACAGAAATTTTGGCACTGCTGTGAATAGTTTAGTCGCAAAGTGAAGATTAACGGGTACCAAGCCCTAAACTTGGAGATAGATTATTTTTCAGCTTTCAGCAGCCCTGGGCGAGTTCTTTAGAGAAATGTGACTGTTTTTCTTGGTGCCCTTGTCTATGTCCAGCTACACAACCAGATAAGGATGGTCATTTTCATTTTGTGAGTTGCGAACGGGCAGAAAGGTGAGAAAATGTCGGATTTTGACCATTTGTGCTCACCTTTTACTTTCAACGTACCTCTCTATAACATGAGCCAGCTGTAATGTCAGTGGTCGCATTGGTTTGATTTTTGGTTTGCTAGTAGGGCGCTGGAACCCACATTCAGTGACCCTTAAAATTTGGCCATGCTGTGAATAGTTTAGTCGCAAAGTGAAGATTCACGGGTAAAAAGCCCCAAACTTTGAGATAGATTATTATTCAGCTTTCTGCAGCCCTGGGCGAGTTCTTTAGAGAAAGGTGGGCCTTTTTGTGGGTGCCCTTGTCTATGTCCAGCTACACAACGAGTTGAGGATTGTCTTTGTCAAGTTATGAGCTGCGAACAGGCAGAAAGGTGAGAAAATGTCGGATTTTGACCAGTTGGTCTCACCTTCCCATTTCAACGTACCTCTCTATAACATGAGCCAGCTGTAATGTCAGTGGTCGCATTGGTTTGATTTTTGGTTTGCTTGCAGGGCGCTTACACCCACATTCAGGGAGCCAGAAAGTTTGGCACTGCTGTGAATAGTTTAGTCGCAAAGTGAAGATTAACGGGTACCAAGCCCTAACCTTGGAGATAGGTTATTATTCAGCTTTCAGCAGCCCTGGGTGAGTTCTTTAGAGAAATGTGGCTCTTTTTCTTGGTGCCCTTGTCTATGTACAGCTACACAACGAGATGAGGATTGTCTTTGTCAATTTCTGAGCTGCGAACGGGCAGAAAGGTGAGAAAATGTCAGATTTTGACCATTTGTGCTCACTTTCCAATTTCAACGTACCTCTCTATAACATGAGCCAGCTGTAATGTCAGTAGTCGTATTGGTTTGATTTTTGGTTTGTGAGTAGTGCGCTGGCACCCACATTCAGTGACATATAAAATTTGGCACTGCTGTGAATAGTTTAGGCGCAAAGTGAAGATTCACGGGTAAAAAGCCCCAAACTTTGAGGTAGGTTTTTATTCAGCTTTCAGCAGTCCTGGGCGAGTTCTTTAGAGAAATGTGGGTCTTTTTCTTGGTGCCCTTGTCTATGTCCAGCTACACAACGAGATGAGGATGGTCATTTTCATTTTGTGAGCTGCGAACGGGCAGAAAGGTGAGAAAATGTCGGATTTTGACCATTTGTGCTCACCTTTGAATTTCAACGTACGTCTCTATAACATGAGCCAGCTGTAATGTCAGCGGTCGCGTTGGTTTGATTTTTGGTTTGCTTGTAGGACGCTGGCACCCACATTCAGTGACCGATAAAATTTGGCACTGCTGTGGATAGTTTAGTCGCAAAGTGAAGATTCACGGGTAAAAAGCCCCGAACTTTGAGATAGGTCATTATTCAGCTTTCAGCAGCCCTGGGCGAGTTCTTTAGAGATACGTAACTGTTTTTCTTGGTGCCCTTGTCTATGTCCAGCTACACAACGAGATGAGGATTTTCTTTGTCAATTTCTGAGCTACGAACGGGCAGAAAGGTGAGAAAATGTCGGATTTTGACCAGTTGGTCTCACCTTCCAATTTCAACGTACCTCTCTATAACATGAGCCAGCTGTAATGTCAGTGGTCGCATTGGTTTGATTTTTGGTTTGCTTGTAGGGCGCTGGCACCCACATTTAGTGACCCAGAAATTTTGGCACTGCTGTGAATAATTTAGTCGCAAAGTGAAGATTCACGGGTACCAAACCCTAAACTTGGAGATAGGTTATTATTCAGCTTTCAGCAGCCCTGGTCGAGTTCTTTAGAGATATGTGACTGTTTTTCTTGGTGCCCTTGTCTATGTCCAGCCACACAACCAGATGAGGATGGTCATTTTCATTTTGTGAGTTGCGAACGGGCAGAAAGTTGAGAAAATGTCGGATTTTGACCATTTGTGCTCACCTTTGAATTTCATCGTACCTCTCTATAACATGCCAACTGTAATGTCAGTGGTCGCATTGGTTTGATTTTTGGTTTGCTAGTAGGGCGCTGGCACCCACATTCAATGACCCATAAAATTTGACACTGCTGTTCAGAATAATTTAGTCGCAAAGTGAAGATTCACGGGTAAAAAGCGCCAAACTTTGAGATAGGTTATTATTCAGCTTTAAGCAGCCCTGGGCGAGTTTTTTAGAGAAATGTGACTGTTTTTCTCGGTGCCCTTGTCTATGTCCAGCTACACAACGAGATGAGGATTGTCTTTGTCAATTTCTGAGCTGCGAACGGGCATAAAGGTGAGTAAATGTCGGATTTTGACAAGGTGGTCTCACCTTCCAATTTCAACGTTCTTCTCTATAACATGAGCCAGCTGTAATTTCAGTGGTCGCATTGGTTTGATTTTTGGTTTGCTTGTAGGGCGCTGGCACCCACATTCAGTGAGCCAGAAATTTTGGCACTGCTGTTCAGAATTGGTTAGTCGCAAAGTGAAGATTCACGTGTAAAAAGCCCCAAACTTTGAGATAGGTTATTATTCAGCTTTCAGCAGCCCTGGGCGAGTTCTTTAGAGAAATGTGACTGTTTTCCTTGGAGCCCTTGTCTATGTCCAGCTACACAACGAGATAAGGATTGTCTTTGTCAATTTCTGAGCTGCGAACAGGCATAAAGGTGAGAAAATGTCGGATTTTGACCATTTGTGCTCACCTTTGAATTTCAACGTACGTCTCTATAACATGAGCCAGCTGTAATGTCAGTGGTCGCATTGGTTTGATTTTTTGTTTGCTTGTAGGGCGCTGGCACCCACATTCAGTGACCCAGAAATTTTGGCACTGCTGTGAATAGTTTAGTCGCAAAGTGAATATCCACGGGTACTAAGCACTAAACTTGGAGATAGGTTATTATTCAGCTTTCAGCAGCCCTGTGCGAGTTCTTTAGAGATACGTGGCTCTTTTTCTTGGTGCCCATGTGTATGTCCAGCTTCACAACAAGATGAGGATGGTCGTTGTCTTTTTCTGAGCTGAGAACGGGCATAAAGGTTTGAAAATGTCCGATTTTGACCATTTGTGCTCAACTTTGAATTTCAACGTACTTCTCTATAACATGACCCACCTGTAATGTTAGTGGTCGCATTGGTTTGATTTTTGGTTTGCTTGTAGGGCGCTGGCACCCACATTCAATGACCCAGAAATTTTGGCACTGCTGTGAATAGTTTAGTCGCAAAGTGAAGATTCACGGGTACCAAACCCTAAACTTGGAGATAGGTTTTTATTCAGCTTTCAGCAGCCCTGGGCGAGTTCTTTGGAGATAATATCTCGTCCAAGCCAAGCTTGATGAGCAATTGCCATCCCAGTCATCACCAAAAAATGTCGTGTCGTGATTGACGTCAACGACGATCGATGCGCGTGCGATGTTCGCGCCTTGCGATCGTACCTATTCGCCAGCCAAGTCTCCTCACTTGCCTGGGGCTTGCCTAGCTAGCTAGTCACTGACAAACAAACAAACACGGGCTTGTCAGGCGGAAAGAAAGACTAGTGACAAGAAAGACAGAAAGGTGATGGGTAGTTGTTTTAGGTCCGCGACTTTTCTTTCGCTCGACTTCAACGTCACTTTTTGATCAACTTGATATCAAACACAAGTGATGGTTTTCGCTGATCCGGGCTCATATGTGACTGTTTTTCTTGGTGCCCTTGTCTTTGTCCAGCTACACAATCAGATGAGGATGGTCATTTTCATTTTGTGAGCTGCGAACGGGCAGAAAGGTGAGAAAATGTCGGATTTTGACCATTTGTGCTCACCTTTGAATTTCAACGTACGTCTCTATAACATGAGCCAGCTGTAATGTCAGTGGTCGCATTGGTTTGATTTTTGGTTTGCTTATAGGGCGCTGGCACCCACATTCAGTGACCCAGAAAATTTGGCACTGCTGTGAATAGTTTAGTCGCAAAGTGAAGATTCACGGGTTAAACGCCCCAAACTTTGAGATAGGTTATTATTCAGCTTTAAGCAGCCCTGGGCGAATTCGTTAGAGAAATGTGACTGTTTTTCTTGGTGCCCTTGTCTGTGTCCAGCTACACAACGAGATGAGGATTGTCTTTGTCATTTTCTGAGCTGCGAGCGGGCATAAAGGTGAGTAAATGTCGGATTTTGACCAGTTGGTCTCACCTTCCATTTTCAACGCGCCTCTCTATAACATGAGCCAGCTGTAATGTCAGTGGTCACATTGGTTTGATTTTTGGTTTGCTTGTAGGGCGCTTGCACCCACATTCAGTGACCCAGAAAGTTTGGCACTGCTGTGAGTAGTTTAGTCGCAAAGTGAAGATTCACAGGTACCAAGCCCTAGACTTGGAGATAGGTTATCATTCAGCTTTCAGCAGCCCTGGGCGAGTTCTTTAGAGAAATGTGGGTCTTTTTGTGGGTGCACTTGTCTATGGCCAGCTACACAACGAAATGAGGATTGTCTTTGTCAATTTCTGACCTGCGAACGTGCAGAAAGGTGAAACAATGTCGGATTTTGACCATTTGTGCTCACCTTTGAATTTCAACGTACCTCTCTATAACATGAGCTAGCTGCAATGTCAGTGGTCACATTGGTTTGATTTTTGGTTTGCTTGTAGGGCGCTGGCACCCACACATTCAGTGACCCATAAAATTTGGCACTGCTGTGAATAGTTTAGTCGCAAAGTCAAGATTCACGGGTAAAAAGCCCCACACTTTGAGATAGGTTATTATTCATCTATCAGCAGCCCTGGGCGAGTTCTTTAGAGAAATGTGGCTCTTTTTCTTGGTGCCCTTGTCTATGTCCAGCTACACAACGAGCTGAGGATTGTCATTGTCAATTTCTGAGCTGCGAACGGGCAGAAAGGTGAGAAAATGTCGAATTTTGACCATTTGTGCTCACCTTCCAATTTCAATGTACCTCTCTATAACACGAGCCAGCTGTAATGTCAGTGGTCGCATTGGTTTGATTTTTGGTTTGCTTGTAGGGCGCTGGCAGCCACATTCAGTGACCCAGAAATTTTGGCACTGCTGTGAATAGTTTAGTCGCAAAGTGAAGATTCACGGTTACCAACCCCTAAACTTGGAGATAGGTTATTATTCGGCTTTCAGCAGCCCTGGCCGAGTTCTTTAGAGATACGTGGCTCTTCTCCTTGGTGCCCTTGTGTATGTTCAGCTACACAACGAGATGAGGATGGTCAGTTTCATTTTCTGAGCTGAGAATGGGCAGAAAGGTGAGAAAATGTCGGATTTTGACCATTTGTGCTCACCTTCCAATTTCAACGTACCTCTCTATAACATGAGCCAGCTGTAATGTCAGTGGTCACATTGGTTTGATTTTTGGTGTGCTTGTAGGGCGCTTGCACCCACATTCAGTGACCCAGAAAGTTTGGCACTGCTGTGAGTAGTTTAGTCGCAAAGTGAAGATTCACAGGTACCAAGCCCTAGGCTTGGAGATAGGTTATCATTCAGCTTTCAGCAGCCCTGGGCGAGTTCTTTAGAGAAATGTGGGTCTTTTTGTGGGTGCACTTGTCTATGTCCAGCTACACAACGAATTGAGGATTGTCTTTGTCAATTTCTGACCTGCGAACGTGCAGAAAGGTGAAACAATGTCGGATTTTGACCATTTGTGCTCACCTTTGAATTTCAACGTACCTCTCTATAACATGAGCTAGCTGTAATGTCAGTGGTCACATTGGTTTGATTTTTGGTTTGCTTGTAGGGCGCTGGCACCCACATTCAGTGACCCATAAAATTTGGCACTGCTGTGAATAGTTTAGTCGCAAAGTCAAGATTCACGGGTAAAAAGCCCCACACTTTGAGATAGGTTATTATTCATCTATCAGCAGCCCTGGGCGAGTTCTTTAGAGAAATGTGGCTCTTTTTCTTAATGCCCTTGTCTATGTCGAGCTACACAACGAGCTGAGGATGGTCATTGTCAATTTCTGAGCTGCGAACGGGCAGAAAGGTGAGAAAATGTCGAATTTTGACCATTTGTGCTCACCTTCCAATTTCAATGTACCTCTCTATAACACGAGCCAGCTGTAATGTCAGTGGTCGCATTGGTTTGATTTTTGGTTTGCTTGTAGGGCGCTGGCACCCACATTCAGTGACCCAGAAATTTTGGCACTGCTGTGAATAGTTTAGTCGCAAAGTGAAGATTCACGGTTACCAACCCCTAAACTTGGAGATAGGTTATTATTCGGCTTTCAGCAGCCCTGGGCGAGTTTTTTAGATATGTGACTGTTTTTCTTAGTGCCCTTGTTTAAGTCCAGCTACGCAACGAGATGAGGATGGTCATTTTCATTTTGTGAGCTGCGAACGGGCAGAAAGGTGAGAAAATGTCGAATTTTGACCAGTTGGTCTCACCTTCCAATTTCAACGTACCTCTCTATAACATGAGCCAGCTGTAATGTCAGTGGTCGCATTGGTTTGATTTTTGGTTTGTTTGTAGGGTGCTGACACCCACATTCAGTGACCCAGAAATGTTTGCACTGCTGTGAATAGTATAATCACAAAGGGAAGATTCACGGGTACCAAGCCCTAAACTTGGAGATAGGTTATTATTCAGCTTTCAGCAGCCCTGGGCGAGTTCTTTAGAGATATGTGACTGTTTTTCCTGATGCCTTTGTCTATGTCCAGCTACACAACCATATGAGGATGGTCATTGTCATTTTCTGAGCTGCGAACGGGCAGTAAGGTGAGAAAATGTCGGATTCGGACCATTTGTGCACGCCTTCCAATTTCAATGTACCTCTCTATAACATGAGCCAGCTGTAATGTCAGTGGTCGCATTGGTTTGATTTTTTGTTTGCTTGTAGGGCGCTGGCACCCACATTAATTGATCCAGAAATTTTGGCACTGCTGTGAATAGTTTAATCGCAAAGTGAAGATTCACGGGTAAAAAGCCCCAAACTTTGAGATAGGTTATTATTCAGCTTTCAGCAGCCCTGGGCGAGTTCTTTAGAGAAATGTGACTGTTTTTCTTGGTGCCCTTGTCTATGTCCAGCTACACAACGAGATGAAGATTGTCTTTGTCAATTTTTGAGCTGCGAACAGGCATAAAGGTGAGAAAATGTCGGATTTTGACCAGTTGGTCTCACCTTCTAATTTCAACGTACCTTTCTATAACATGAGCCAGCTGTAATGTCAGTAGTCGCATTGCTTCGATTTTTGGTTTGCTTGTAGGGCGCTGGCACCCACATTCAGTGACCCAGAAATTTTGGCACTGCTGTGAATAGTTTAACCGGAAAGTGAAGATTCACGGGTAGCAAGCCCTAAACTTGGAGATAGGGTATTATTCAGCTTTCAGCAGCCCTGGGCGAGTTCTTTAGAGATATGCGACTGTTTTTCTTGGTGCCCTTGTCTATGTCCAGCTACACAACGAGATGAGGATGGTCATTGTCATTTTCTGAGCTGCGAACGGGCAGAAAGGTGAGAAAATGTCTGATTTTGACCATTATTTTGTGCTCACCTTTGAATTTCAACGTACCTCTCTATAACATGAGCCAGCTGTAATATCAGTGGTCGCATTGGTTTGATTTTTGGTTTGCTTGTCGGGCGCTGGCACCCACATTCAGTGACCCAGAAATGTTGGCACTGCTGTGAGTAGTTTAATCGCAAAGTGAAGATCCACGGGTACCAAACCCTAAACTTGGAGATAGGTTATTATTCAGCTTATAGCAGCCCTGGGCGAGTTCTTTAGAGATATGCAACTGTTTTTCTTGGTGTCCTTGTCTATGTCCAGCTACACAACCAGATGAGGATGGTTATTGTAATTTTCTGAGCTGCGAACGGGCAGAAAGGTGAGAAAATGTCGGATTTTGACCAGTTGTTCTCGACTTTGAATTTCAACGTACCTATCTATAACATGAGCCAGCTGTAATGTCAGTGGTCGCATTGGTTTGATTTTTGGTTTGCTAGTAGGGTGCTGGCACCCACATTCAGTGACCCAGAAATGTTGGCACTGCTGTCAGTAGTTTAATCGCAAAGTGAAGATTCACGGTTACCAACACCTAAACTTGGAGATAGGTTAATATTCAGCTTTCACCAGCCCTGGGCAAGTTCTTTAGAGATATGCGACTGTTTTTCTTGGGGCCCTTGTCTATGTCCAGCTACACAACCAGATGAAAATGGGTATTGTCATTTTCTTAGCTGCGAACGAGCAGAAAGGTGAGAAAATGTCGGATTTTGACCATTTGGTCTCAACTTTGAATTTCAACGTACCTCTCTATAACATGAGCCAGCTGTAATTTCAGTGGTCGCATTGGTTTGATTTTTGGTTCGCTTGTAGGGTGCTGACACCCACATTCAGTGACCCAGAAATATTGGCACTGCTGTGAATAGTTTAATCACAAAGTGAAGATTCATGAGTACCAAGCCTTAAACTTGGAGATAGGTTATTATTCAGCTTTCAGCAGCCCTGGGCGAGTTCTTTAGAGATATGTGACTGTTTTATCTGGTGCCCTTGTCTATGTCCAGCTACACAACCATATGAGGATGGTCATTGTCATTTTCTGAGCTGCGAACGGGCAGTGAGGTGAGAAAATGTCGGATTTTGACCATTTGTGCTACCCTTCCAATTTCAATGTACCTCTCTATAACATGAGCCAGCTGTAATGTCAGTGGTCGCATTGGTTTGATTTTTGGTTTGCTTGTAGGGCGCTGGCACCCAAATTCAGTGATCCCGAAATTTTGGCACTACTGTGAATAGTTTAATCGCAAAGTGAAGATTCACGGGTAAAAAGCCCCAAACTTTGAGATAGATTATTATTCAGCTTTCAGCAGCCCTGGGCGAGTTCTTTAGAGAAATGTGACTGTTTTTCTTGGTGCCCTTGTCTATGTCCAGCTACACAACGAAATGAGGATTGTCTTTGTCAATTTCTGAGCTGCGAACAGGCATAAAGGTGGGAAAATGTCGGATTTTGACCTTCAAATTTCAACGTACCTCTCTATAACATGAGCCAGCTGTAATGTCAGTAGTCGCATTGGTTTGATTTTTGGTTTGCTTGTAGGGCGCTGGCGCCCACATTCAGTGACCCAGAAATGTTGGCACTGCTGTGAGTAGTTTAATCGCAAAGTGAAGATTCACGGTTACCAAGCCCTAAACTTGGAGATAGGTTATTATTCAGCTTTCAGCAGCATTGGGCGAGTTCTTTAGAGTTATGCGACTGTTTTTCTTGGTGCCCTTGTCTGTGTCCAGCTACACAACCAGATGAGGATGGTTATTGTCATTTTCTGAGCTGCGAACGGGCAGAAAGGTGAGAAAATGTCGGATTTTGACCATTTGGTCTCAACTTTGAATTTCAACGTACCTCTCTATAACATGAGCCAGCTGTAATGTCAGTGGTCGCATTGGTTTGATTTTTGGTTTGCTTGTAGGGCGCTGGCACCCACATTCAGTGACCCAGAAAGTTTTGGCACTGCAGTGAATAGTTTAGTCGCAAAGTGAAGATTCACGGGTAAAAAGCCCCAAACTTTGAGATAGGTTATTATTCATCTGTCAGCAGGCCTGGGCGAGTTCTTTAGAGAAATGTGGGTCTTTTTCTGGGTGCCCTTGTCTATGTCCAGCTACACAACGAGCTGAGGATTGTCATTGTCTATTTCAGAGCTGCAAACGGGCAGAAAGGTGAGAAAATGTCGGATTTTGACCATCTGTGCTCACCTTCCAATTCGTCAGGCGGAATTACTGGTCGGTCGGTGACACGCATTTTTCACAAAAATTTGCGTTTCACCTGCTCGGAGAGTATGCGTGCACTCGAGTCTCATCCTGAGCACGTTTTTTTCTTCTTTTTTTCAGCTCCAGTATAGCTGTATTTTTCAGCTGTCTTTTTCATTGCAAAGCCGTCCTCGATTGTTGTGTTCGTTGTTCAAACGAAGTGGACATTCAATCATGAAGGCAGAGGACATAGGAGCCTGATTGGATTTTCTCGTGGCATAGGACGGCCACACAGAGACACTTTGGGGTTTTCTGAATAAAAAATACCGTACGCACGATGATCAATTTGTGCGATATCAAATTGTTTGTGATCTACCACATCGAGCAGAACGGGATCCAAACACAAGCTTACCGACGGTTAGGCTGCCGACCTGACTGGACAAATGATACCTGGCTTCACCAGACGCCAGAAGTCGGACACCATGTCCTTTGCCGCGACGTCCATCTCCAAAAAGAACTCCATCTTCGTCGTGAAAAGGCTTGAAATACTCAATATTCAACCGAGATTCGCGGCCTCACCCTTTCTCAGATCGAATCATTTTTTGTTGTAGCAGTTGCAGGGCAGATCCCCGCCACTACTTCAACAGAAGATGGCTCCAAAGCATGCCTGGAACAAGCCATATCGAGGTTGCAAGCCACCCCTCTCAGCACTTTGTTTGAAGAAATTCGAAATTTCAATGGTGGAAGATATACTATGAAGCGAATTTCAAAAAGTATGTTTCGCGGAGCGATCGCTCAACCTACGTCATTCAAACTTTGCAGGATGGTTCAGACGTACATGCTAGGCATGGAACCACAGAAGATGATATCATAGCTGACACACAGAGTCACACACACAGCAGATTCGTGTGCACAGATACTAAATTAGTGGACGTCGTCATCTTCTTCCCGCTGATCTCAAATGTACTATGACGTGCTATTTCCCCTGACGTTGAACGTACCTCTCTATAACATGAGCCAGCTGTAATGTCAGTGGTCGCATTGGTTTGATTTTTGGTTTGCTTGTAGGGCGCTGGCACCCACATTCAGTGACCCAGAAAATTTGGCACTGCTGTGAATAGTTTAGTCGCAAAGTGAAGATTCACGGGTACCAAGCCCTAAACTTGGAGAGAGGTCATTATTCAGCTTTCAGCAGCCCTGGGCGACTTCTTTAGAGAAATGTGACTGTTTTTCTTGGTGCTCTTGCCTATGTCCAGCTACACAACGAGATGAGGATTGTCTTTGTCAATTTCTGAGCTGCGAACAAGCATAAAGGTGAGAAAATGTCGGATTTTGACCATTTGTGCTCACCTTCCAATTTCAACGTACCTCTCTATAACATGAGCCAGCTGTAATGTCAGTGGTCACATTGGTTTGATTTTTGGCTTGCTTGTAGGGCGCTGGCACCCACATTCAGTGACTCAGAAATTTTGGCACTGCTGTGAATAATTTAGTCGCAAAGTGAAGATTCACGGGTACCAAGCCCTAAACTTGGAGATTGGTTAGAATTCAGCTTTCAGCAGCCCTGGGCGAGTTCTTTAGAGATACGTGACTGTTTTTCTTGGTGCCCTTGTCTATGTCCATCTATACAACGAGATGAGGATGGTCATTTTCATTTTGTGAGCTGCGAACGGGCAGAAAGATGAGAAAATGTCGGATTTTAACCATTTGTGCTCACCTTCCAATTTCAACGTACCTCTCTATAACATGAGCCAGCTGTAATGTTAGTGGTCGCATTGATATGATTTTTGGTTTGCTTGCAGGGCGCTGGCACCCACATTCAGTGACCCATAAAATTTGGCACTCCTGTGAATAGTTTAGTCGCAAAGTGAAGATTCACGGGTAAAAAGCCCCGAACTTTGAGAAAGGTTATTATTCAGCTTTCAGCAGCCCTGGGCGAATTCTTTAGAGAAATGTGACTGTTTTTCTTGGTCCCCTTGTCTATGTCCAGCTACACAACAAGATGAGGATTGACTTTGTCAATTTCTGAGCTTCGAACAGGCATAAAGGTGAGAAAATGTCGGATTTTGACCAGTTGGTCTCGATTTCCAATTTCAACGTACGTCTCTATAACATGAGTCAGCTGTAATGTCAGTGGTCGCATTGGTTTGATTTTTGGTTTGCTTGTAGAGCGCTGGCACCCACATTCAGTGACCCAGAAATTTTGGCACTGCTGTGAATAGTTTAGTCGCAAAGTGAATATCCACGGGTACTAAGCACTAAACTTGGAGATAGGTTATTATTCAGCTTTAAGCAGCCCTGGGCGAGTTCTTTAGAGATATGTGACTGTTTTTCTTGGTGCCCTTGTCTATGTCTAACTACAGAACGAGATGAGGATTGTCTTTGTCAATTTCTGAGCTGCGAACAAGCATAAAGGTGAGAAAATGTCGGATTTTGACAATTTGCGCTCACCTTCCAATTTCAACGTACCTCTTTATAACATGAGCCAGCTGTAATGTCAGTGGTCGCATTGGTTTGATTTTTGGTTTGCTTGTAGGGCGTTGGCACCCTCATTCAGTGACCCAGAAATGTTGGCACTGCTGTGAATAGTTAAGTCGCAAAGTGAAGATTCACGGGTACCAAGCCCTAAACTTGGAGATAGGTTATTATTCAGCTTTCAGCAGCCCTGGGCGAGTTCTTTAGAGATACGTGACTGTTCTTCTTGGTGCCCTTGTCTATGTCCAGCTACACAACCAGATGAGGATGGTCATTGTCATTTTCTGAGCTGCGAACGGCCATAAAGGTGAGAAAATGTCGGATTTTGACCATTTGTGCTCACCTTCCAATTTCAACTTACCTCTCTATCATGAGCCAGCTGTAATGTCAGTGGTCGCATTGGTTTGATTTTTGGTTTGCTTGTAGGGCGCTGGCACCCACATTCAGTGACCCAGAAATTTTGGCACTGCTGTGAATAGTTAAGTCGCAAAGTGAAGATTCACGGGTACCAAGCCCTAAACTTGGAGATAGGTTATCATTCAGCTTTCAGCAGTCTGGGTGAGTTCTTTAGAGATACGTGACTGTTTTTCTTGGTGCCCTTGTCTATGTCCAGCTACACAACGAGATGAGGATGGTTATTTTCATTTTGTGAGCCAGCTGTAATGTTAGTGGTAGCATTGATATGATTTTTGGTTTGCTTGTAGGGTGCTGGCATCCACATTCAGTGACCCATGAAATTTGGCAATGCTGTGAATAGTTTAGTCGCAAAATGAAGATTCACGGGTAGAAAGCCCCAAACTTTGAGATAGGTTATTATTCAGCTTTCAGCAGCCCTGGGCGAGTTCTTTAGAGAAATGTGACTGTTTTTCTTGGTGCCCTTGTCTATGTCCAGCTACACAACAAGATGAGGATTGTCTTTGTCAATTTCTGAGCTTCGAACAGGCATAAAGGTGAGAAAATGTCGGATTTTGACCAGTTGGTCTCACCTTCCAATTTCAACGTACCTCTCTATACCATGATCTAGCTGTAATGTCAGTGGTCGCATTGGTTTGATTTTTGGTTTGCTTGTAGGGCGCTGACACCCACATTCAGTGACCCAGAAATTTTGGCACTGCTGTGAATAGTTGAATCGCAAAGTGAAGATTCACGGGTACCAAGCCCTAAATTTGGAGATAGGTCATTATTCAGCTTTCAGCAGCCCTGGGCGAGTTCTTTAGAGATATGTGAGCCCCGGCCAGCGAAAACCAGCACTTGTGTACTTGATATCAATCATCAAAATGTGACGTCAAAGTTTGGGACGCGCCGTGAGCTGGCTTTTGAAGATTCTTTTTCGATCGAGTGGGCGTCTTTGTTGTCAAAGGAGTTTCAAGTGTCTTCAAATGTCTCCGGTCAATTGATTTTAGCGCTAGGTGAGAGCTCGTCACACCGAGGTTGAGTTTAGACACAGCGATGGCGACAGGTGTCGCGACAAAGACTTAGGTCCAGAGTTGTCAGCGTGAGACTCCCTGTACGAAGCGGCGCTGAAAGTTAGTTCGCGATCGGAATTATTTCTTTGGTGGCGATCTCGCTGAGTTTGTCCAGCAGTGGCGAGTCTAATATGCATAGCAACGAAGAGCCCTCATAAAATCGACACTGGATACTGGTGGCGACTGTGATGTTGCAGGCCTCCTGGTTAATACTATATTATAGTATTGTACTATTATAGTATCTTGTACGATATTTATATGTGTATCTGTTTTGTTCCCTTTCTCTGTGCTTTATGTTCCTGGTTCTTGGTCTTTAGTTTGGTCTTTGTTAGTGCTTTGGTTTGACCAGTACTGTAATAATAATAATGTCCCAGAACATTACATTGGCGACGAAGATGAACTAGATTTAATAGTTATAGTCATATAGATGACCTGAGTAGGCCTCAGTGACAATGGCGCTCACAGGCGTAGGCCCGGCTTTGGAGCCGTTCGATCTCGAGGGTCCTGCCCATGAAGTTTCTGCAAGATGGCGCAGGTGGAAGAGATCATTCCAGTACTATGTGGATGGGCAGAACATAACATCCGCGAAGAGGCAGAGGAGTCTGTTGCTGTACTTGGCTGGTATGCCAGTACAGGAGAAATTCGAAACGCTAACAGAAGATGAGGATACCGACAATTTATTCGAGCGAGCTGTGAGTGCTTTGGACAAGGCTTTCGAGTTCGTGGCCAACAAGAGGTTCGAACGTTATAAGCTTCGTCAGATGTCACAACGGACTGGTGAAACAGTATCTCAGTTTTCGACCCGTTTGCTTGGGCAAGGCAAATACTGTGACTATGGCACCGACATGGAGGATCATGTATGCGACCAACTGCTCATAGGGATATCGGACAATCGCCTGAGAAAGAAATTGTTAGAAGTCGACGACCTCACTTTGGCGGTGGCCTTGAAAAAAGGTCGCGAGTATGAAACAACGGAGCAGCACGCACGTGATATGTCAACATCGACAAGTGCAAGTCACAGTGCAAGCCATGATGGGCATGGGTCCAGTTCGTACGGTACGGGTGAAGCTGCACCAGGAAGTGTGAATGCTGTGCACGGCGTACCCCAGCAAGAGTGTCACAACTGCGGAAAAGTTGGCCACTTCGCCCGCGACCGGAACTGTCCTGCACGTGGCCAAAGGTGTAGAAAGTGTGGCATAAACGGTCACTTCGCATCCAAATGCAACGGAGGTGACAAACAGCGTACAGGCAACACGCGTCACGCTCCCAAGTCGTCGGGAAAGGCAAGTTTGTACAGAAAAGAAAATCACTCGGCAAATCAAATTCAAGATGTAGACGATTTTGTGTTTGGAGTGCGAGGAAGTAATTTGACACAGGCCTCTATCGATGTCAGCCTCAATGGTGTGTCGACGCGAGTGCTAGTCGATTCTGGAGCATCATGCAACTTGTTGGGAGAATCGACTTTGGGCCAGCTGCAATTGCAAGGCCTCGGTGTCACTTTGACGAAGTGCACCAGGAAGCTTTTCGCGTATGGAGCACACCAGCTGAATGTCGTCGGCAAGTTTACTGCAATTTTCCAATGCGGCTCAGAGCGCACTGAGGACGAAGTGATCGTCGTCAGAGGAGATGGAGAGTTCTTGCTGGGACGTAGTACTGCACTCAAGTTGAAGGCCTTGGTGCTACCTGACGTGAATCAAGTTGGCAGCGCCACAGCTAGCCCCAGTATCAACGATGAAATCAAGAATGAGTATCCTGGTGTGTTCAGTGGTGTGGGCAAGTTAATTGGCTACCAAGCACGTCTTCATGTAGACTCTGAAGTTCCACCTGTGGCCCAACGCCAGCGTAGGATACCATATGCGTATGAAACCAAGGTGGATGAAAAACTTCAGGAGTTACAGCAATCAGGAATTATTGAAGAAGCTGTGGGCCCGACGCCGTGGGTAAGCCCAATTGTGATAGCACCAAAGAAGCATGGCGACATCCGTTTGTGCGTGGATTTACGCCGGGTCAATGAAGCCATCGTCCGAGAACGACATCCGATGCCAACAACAGAGGAGTTGCTGCATGAAGTCAATGGCAGCACGGTGTTTTCGAAGATTGACCTGAAGTGGGGATTTCACCAAGTAGAGTTGGAAGAAGAGTCCCGCTACCTGACAACTTTTGCTGCAAATGGGAAGTTGTACCGGTTTCGTCGACTGCCATTTGGTATAAGTTCAGCACCAGAGCTGTACCAGAAGATCATCAGCGATGTGATCAAGGATTTGGCCGGTTGCAGAAACGGAGCTGATGATATCTTGCTACATGCGGACTCACTGAACCAGCATGATGTGAGGGTTCATGCATTGATGAATCGCTTGCAGCAGGTCAACCTCACAGTCAACCCAGCAAAGTGTGAGTTCGCTAAGAGCTCCATTGAGTTCTTCGGCTTGCAGATATCTGACAAGGGCATACAGCCAACTCCGGAAAGGATACGATCCTTGGCAGAAGCATCCAGGCCGAGCAATGCGTCGGAAGTAAGAAGCTTCCTCGGTACAGCCGGTTTCAGTGCAAAATTCATCCCTGATTTTGCTACAGTTGCTGAGCCACTGCGTCGCCTCACGGTCAAGGGAGCTCAGTTCAAGTGGACTACAGAGCAACAGCAAGCGTTCGACCACCTGAAGCGACTACTGGTGTCCAGCTCAACACTGGCATACTATGATGCTGAAGCGCCGATCGAGTTAGTGACAGATGCCAGTCCAGTTGGGCTCGGAGCTGTGCTTGTCCAGAAGCAGGATGGTGTTTGGCGGCCAGTTGCGTATGCGAGCAGATCACTGTCAGCGGTAGAGCGGAGGTACTCGCAGACCGAGCGAGAGGCTCTTGGTATTGTCTGGGCGTGTGAACGATTTCACACCTATCTGCTAGGCAGGGAGTTTACACTCTGCACCGACCACAAGCCGCTGGAAGTGATTTATTCGGCAAGATCCAAGCCCAGTGCCAGGATCGAGAGATGGGTCCTGCGCCTACAGCCGTACAGCTATCGAGTCAAGCACATTCCTGGAAAGACGAACATCGCTGACGCTTTATCTCGCCTGCCCGTTGCAGCGGCGGATCCAGGAATCAGCAGTGATGAAGAGTCGGTTAGACTTATCACTCAGACAGCAGCACCCATCGCTATCGGTATCAGAACGATTGAACGTAGCTCAGCTGAAGATGAAGAGCTATCTGCTGTTCGCAAGTGCCTTCATGACGGATCTTGGGATGGTCTGCCAGCAGCATACCGTCAGGTCTGAGGAGAATTGACTGTTGTTGGCAAGGTGGTGCTCAGAGGTCAACGCATTGTTATCCCTACAGAGTTGCGACACCAGACCGTGCAGTTGGCACATGAGGGCCACCAGGGCATCGTGAAGACGAAAGAGCGTCTACGGTCCAAGGTTTGGTGGCCAGGCATGGATAGCGAGGCCGAGAAGCTCTGCAAGTCGTGTCATGCCTGCCAAGTGGTTGCAGCGCCAGCCAATGCACCGCCAGTCAAGTCCACTCCTCTTCCAGATGCGCCATGGCAGCATTTGGCTGTTGACTTGCTGGGTCCACTACCGTCTGGCGAGCACATTGTGGTGCTCGTGGATTACTACAGTCGATATTTCGAAGTAGATGTGGTCAAGTCAACATCAGCTGAAGCTGTGATTCCGATGATTGAAGCCCAGTTCAGCCGACACGGTATCCCGACGAGTTTGCGTACGGATAATGGCCCACCTTTCAACTCGGAAGGGTTTGCGAAGTTTCTACATGAGTGTGGTGTTCAACAGCTTCGTACTACACCACTGTGGCCGAGAGCTAACGGTGAAGTTGAGCGACAAAATCGATCCCTGATGAAAGTGATCCGTGCTGCATATGCGGAAGGAAAGACGTGGAAGCGGGAGGTTCAACGATTCTTGATGGCATACCGCTCAACGCCACATAGCACCACCGGAGTTGCTCCAGCTGAGTTATTGTTTGGGCGCAAAGTGCACTGCAAGTTACCAGCCCTCGGTGAACCAGCGACAAACGAGGCCGTCAGAGATCGTGACAGCGAGCGTAAGCAGAGTATGCGTGACTCTGCAGATGACGCCAACCATGCCACAAGCCAGTCAACGCAGATAGGTGACTCAGTACTGCTAAAGCGTTCGGAGACACGGTCGAAGGTCGACACACCATTCCATCACCAACCTCATGTGGTGGTTAGTCGGAATGGGGACCAAGTAGTGGTTCAGGCACCGGATGGGAAGCTTGTGCGGAGGAACGTACAGTTCACCAAACCATTCCGGCAGCAGCATCCAGCTGAACCTAGCCCCGAAGTGCAAGAGGCACCCCAGCATCGTGCGGAGCCCCGCAGGTCAGACAGGTTAAGCGTGAAATGCTAAGTAACCTGTCCGGCCCTTGTTCTGTTCTGCATTGACTAGGCTGTGTGACAGTTGTGTTTGACTGGTCGTTCGGCTAACAATGTATGAGCTTGCATTATACTGTATATTTACATATTTTATGACATGGATTGATAGAACGCTTTTGGTTATTCGTCGCGTTTTGGACAGCCTATTTTGGTTTATTTAGTTTGTTGAAATGCTACGTTGAAGTTTGCTATGGTCAGTATTTCTATGGACTGTAGTTGTAGACTTTCGAGAAAAGGAGGAATGTGATGTTGCAGGCCTCCTGGTTAATACTATATTATAGTATTGTACTATTATAGTATCTTGTACGATATTTATATGTGTATCTGTTTTGTTCCCTTTCTCTGTGCTTTATGTTCCTGGTTCTTGGTCTTTAGTTTGGTCTTTGTTAGTGCTTTGGTTTGACCAGTACTGTAATAATAATAATGTCCCAGAACATTACAGCGACGATAGTCAGTGCTGGAGTAATAGCGACTGCAAGGAGAAGCTGAATGCCGACCCGCTGAGCGATCCGTATTTCTACATCGACAACAATGATGTTGCAGACGCTGATGGAGGGATTCTCACGGTACAAAACAGAGACTGCAAGCGTAGTATTATCAGTACTCTACCTTGCCAGACGATGCCAAGCTGGCTGCTGCCTGTGCTGAGAAAGGGGATCCCTAAAAACTCAAACCAGCTGAACGCTTTGGGGCAACATCTTCACGTGCTACAAAACGCGAGTATTCGCTCATATCATTGAAATACAATTATGCTGAAATCATGGTCTGAGTGAAAGTGTGCAAGGGAGTGGATGTCAGTGGTATTGGTTAGTACATCTATCAGTATGGCAAGCTTTCAGACAACGCTCAAACTGCCAGCACAGAGGTCCCTGAACACAATTTGGAAGGCCAGCCACCAATCATCGTTTTGCACTCTGGTGTTGTAAGGAAGGTAGTGATGTATACGGAATATCGTCACACTTCTGAACTACTCATGCCTGCAGCACCAAGAGGGCAAGCCTGACTTGCATTCTATTTACTTACATGTACCTGTTCCACATCACAATCAGAAACTGTAGGATCAACTTGCATGGAGTCACTAGGCATGGATGCTGCGCAAACTGTACTGAATCTTGACCTGTGTGACTTCAAACTCTGTTTTCCATGCTTTCGTTTATCAGATTGTCACCAAACTTGATAACTTGAATGATTAATAGTGTAGAAACAATTTCGAGGGAAAAAAATAATTTTTGAAAAAATTACACATGTTCAGGTTTCTGCTGGCTGGGGCTCATGTGACTGTTTTTCTTGGTGCCCTTGTCTATGTCCAGCTACACAACCAGATGAGGATGGTCATTGTCATTTTCTGAGCTGCGAACGGGCATAAAGGTGAGAAAATGTCGGATTTTGACCATTTGTGCTCACCTTCCAATTTCAACGTACCTCTCTATAACATGAGCCAGCTGTAATGTCAGTGCTCACATTGGTTTGATTTTTGGTTTGCTTGTAGGGCGCTGGCACCCACATTCAGTGACCCAGAAATGTTGGCACTGCTGTGAATAGTTAACCCTTTATGTACTGAAAAATGTACGCAGACTGAATTTGATCTCGACTCGCCTCAAATTCCATATTTCTCCGGGTCATAACTTTGGTCTCCTTTTGACGATTTTTTCAATCTTGAGCTTCCTGGAAAGCTCGTCGCAGGAGGAACACATTGAGCCCACACTTGCCACCACGAAGGTCAAAACTCCAGCGCTACAACCCAGCGTCTTAGTTGCAACGCCAATATTCCAACAGAAGTCGTCTTGTATCAGCCATTTCGCTCTCCTTGCTTGTAACAACTGATTTTTACTTCCAAAAGATTTCACAATCTGCCACGAGTCCGTTTGCCATTTTGAATGTGTTTCTACGTCACTGGATGCCGAGAAAGATGGGGAAATCCCTCATTCAAATCTGCGCACGCGGCTACTGAGCGACAATTGCCGCGATTTGACTTTCGAACTTCGTAACTCTGGAACCGCACATAGAAGTGTTTCTGCGATCGTTTCAATGAACAGCTGGGGGTTTTCTCTTCGACCTACATAATTTAGGTTTTGGAAATAACCCAGAAATGACTGAGATATGATCGATTGAAAACTTGAAAAGTTTCGATCCCAGGGGATCGAAAGTTGTACAGTCCGTACACAAAGGGTTAAGTCGCAAAGTGAAGATTCACGGGGACCAAGCCCTAAACTTGGAGATAGGTTATTATTCAGCTTTCAGCAGCCCTGGGCGAGTTCTTTAGAGATACGTGACTGTTTTTCTTGGTGCCCTTGTCTATGTCCAGCTACACAACCAGATGAGGATGGTCATTGTCATTTTCTGAGCTGCGAACGGGCATAAAGGTGAGAAAATGTCGGATTTTGACCATTTGTGCTCACCTTCCAATTTCGACGTACCTCTCTATACATGAGCCAGCTGTAATGTCAGTGGTCGCATTGGTTTGATTTTTGGTTTGCTTGTAGCGCGCTGGCACCCACATTCAGTGACCCAGACATTTTGGCACTGCTGTGAATAGTTAAGTCGCAAAGTGAAGATTCACGGGTACCAAGCCCTAAACTTGGAGATAGGTTATTATTCAGATTTCAGCAGCCCTGGGCGAGTTCTTTAGAGATACGTGACTGTTTTTCTTGGTGCCCTTGTCTATGTCCAGCTACACAACCAGATGAGGATGGTCATTTTCATTTTGTGAGCTGCGAACGGGCATAAAGGTGAGAAAATGTCGGATTTGGACCATTTGTGCTCACCTTTGAGGTCGCATTGATATGATTTTTGGTTTGCTTGTAGGGCGCTGGCATCCACATTCAGTGACCCATGAAATTTGGCACTGCTGTGAATAGTTTAGTCGCAAAGTTAAGATTCACGGGTAAAAAGCCCCAAACTTTGAGATAGGTTATTATTCAGCTTTCAGCAGCCCTGGGCGAGTTCTTTAGAGAAATGTGACTGTTCTTCTTTGTGCCCTTGTCTATGTCCAGCTACACAACAAGATGAGGATTGTCTTTGTCAATTTCTGAGCTTCGAACAGGCATGAAGGTGAGAAAATGTCGGCTCAGAAAATGATAATGACCATCCTCATCCTGTTGTGTAGCTGGACATAGAAAATAGCACCATGAAAAAGAGCCACATTTCTCTAAAGAACTCGCCCCGGGCTGCTGAAAGCTGAAAAAGAACCTATCTAGAAGTTTGGGGCTTTTTACCCGTGAATCTTCACTTTGCGACTAAACTATTCACAGCACTGCCAAATTTTCTGGTTCACTGAATGCGGGTGCCAGCGCCCTACAAGCAAACCAAAAATCAAACCAATGCGATCACTGAAATTACAGCTGGGTCATGTTATAGAGAGGTACGTTGAAATTGAAAGGTCCGACATTTTCTCACCTTTCTGCCCGTTCGCAGCTAAGTAAATGACAATGACCATCCTCATCTCGTTGTGTAGCTGGACATAGACAAGAGCACCATGAAAAAGAGCCACATTTCTCCAAAGAACTCACCCAGGGCTGCTGAAAGCTGAAAAAGAACCTATCTAGAAGTTTGGGGCTTTTTACCCGTGAATCTTCACTTTGCGACTAAACTATTCACAGCATTGCCAAATGTTCTGGGTCACTGAATGCGGGTGCCAGCGCCCTACAAGTTAACCAAAAATGAAACCAATGCGACCACTGAAATTACAGCTGGGTTATGTTATAGAGAGGTACGTTGAAATTGAAAGGTCAGCACAAATGGTCAAAATCCGACATTTTCTCACCTTTCTACCTGTTCGCAGCTCAGAAAATGACAATGACCATCCTCAACTCGTTGTGTAGCTGTACATAGACAAGAGCACCAAGAAAAAGACCCACATTTCTCTAAAGAACTCGCCCAGGGCTGCTGAAAGCTGAAAAAGAACCTATCTCGAAGTTTGGGGCTTTTTACCCGTGAATCTTCACTTTGCGACTAAACTATTCACAGCAGTGCCAAATTTTTAGGGTCACTGATTGTGGGTGCCAGCGCCCTACAAGCAAACCAAAAATGCAACCAATGCGACGACTGTTGTTACAGCTGGGTCATGTTATAGAGAGGTACGTTGAAATTGAAAGGCCAGCACAAATGGTCAAAATCCGACATTTTCTCACCTTTCTGCCCGTTTGCAGCTTAGAAAATGACAATGACCATCCTCATCTCGTTGGTTAGCTGGACATAGACAAGAGCACCATGAAAAACACTAACATTTCTCTAAAGAACTCGCCCAAGGCTGCTGAAAGCTGAAAAAGAACCTATCTAGAAGTTTGGGGCTTTTTACCCGTGAATCTTCACTTTGCGACTAAACTATTCACAGCAGTGCCAAATTCTCTGGGTCACTGAATGCGGGTGCCAGCGCCCTACAAGCGAACCAAAAATGAAACCAGTGCGACCACTGAAATTACAGCTGGGTCATGTTATAGAGAGGTACGTTGAAATTGAAAGGTCAGCCCAAATGGTCAAAATCCGACATTTTCTCACCTTTCTGCCCGTTCGCAGCTCAGAAAATGACAATGACCATCCTCATCTCGTTGTGTTGCTGGACATAGACAAGAGCACCATGAAAAAGACCCACATTTTTTTTAAAGAACTCGCCCAGGGCTGCTGAAAGCTGAAAAAGAACCTATCTAGAAGTTTGGGGCTTTTTACCCATGAATCTTCACTTTTCGACTAAACTATTCACAGCAGTGCCAAATTTTTAGGATCACTGATTGTGGGTGCCAGCGCCCTACAAGCAAACCAAAAATCAAACTTATGCGACCACTAAAATTACAGCTGGGTCATGTTATAGAGAGGTACGTTGAAATTGAAAGGTCAGCACAAATGGTCAAAATCCGACATTTTCTCAACTTTCTGCCCGTTTGCAGCTTAGAAAATGACAATGACCATCCTCATCTCGTTGGTTAGCTGGATATAGACAAGAGCACCATGAAAAACACTAACATTTCTCTAAAGAACTCGCCCAGGGCTGCTGTAAGCTGAAAAAGAACCTATCTAGAAGTTTGGGGCTTTTTACCCGTGAATCTTCACTTTGCGACTAAACTATTCACAGCAGTGCCAAATTTTCTGGTTAACTGAATGCGGGTGCCAGCGCCCTACAAGCGAACCAAAAATGAAACCAATGCGACTACTGAAATTACAGCTGGGTCATGTTATAGAGAGGTACGTTGAAATTGAAAGGTCAGCACAAATGGTCAAAATCCGACATTTTCTCACCTTTCTGCCCGTTCGCAGCTCAGAAAATGACAATGACCATCCTCATCTCGTTGTGTAGCTGGACATAGACAAGAGCACCAAGAAAAAGACCCACATTTCTCTAAAGAACTCGCCCAGGGCTGCTGAAAGCTGAAAAAGAACCTATCTTGAAGTTTGGGGCTTTTTACCCGTGAATCTTCACTTTGCGACTAAACTATTCACAGCAGTGCCAAATTTTTAGGGTCACTGATTGTGGGTGCCAGCGCCCTACAAGCAAACCAAAAATGAAACCAATGTGACCGCTGACATTACAGCTGGGTCATGTTATAAAGAGGTACGTTGAAATTGAAAGGTCAGCACAAATGGTCAAAATCCGACATTTTCTCACCTTTCTGCCCGTTCGCAGTTCACAAAATGACAATGACCATCCTCATCTCATTGTGTAGCTGGACATAGACAAGAGCAACATGAAAAAGAGCCACATTTCTCTAAAGAACTCACCCAGGGCTGCTGAAAGCTGAAAAAGAACCTATCTAGAAGTTTGGGGCTTTTTACCCGTGAATCTTCACTTTGCGACTAAACTATTCACAGCAGTGCACAATTTTCTGGGTCACTGAATGCGGGTGGCAGCGCCCTACATGCATACCAAAAATAAAACAAATGCGACCACTGAAATTACAGCTGGGTCATGTTATAGAGAGGTACGTTGAAATTGAAAGGTCAGCACAAATGGTCAAAATCCGACATTTTCTCACCTTTCTGCCCGTTCGCAGCTCAGAAAATGACAATGACCATCCTCATCTCGTTGTGTAGCTGGACATAGACAAGAGCACCAAGAAAAAGACCCACATTTCTCTAAAGAACTCGCCCAGGGCTGCTGAAAGCTGAAAAAGAACCTATCTAGAAGTTTGGGGCTTTTTACCCGTGAATCTTCGCTTTGCGACTAAACTATTCACAGCAGTGCCAAATTTTTAGGGTCACTGATTGTGGGCGCCAGCGCCCTACAAGCAAACCAAAAATGAAACCAATGGGACCGCTGACATTACAGCTGGGTCATGTTATAGAGAGGTACGTTGAAATTGAAAGGTCAGCACAAATGGTCAAAATCCGACATTTTCTCACCTTTCTGCCCGTTCGCAGCTCAGAAAATGATAATGACCATCCTCATCTCGTTGTGTAGCTGGACATAGAAAATAGCACCATGAAAAAGAGCCACATTTCTCTAAAGAACTCACCCAGGGCTGCTGAAAGCTGAAAAAGAATCTATCTAGAAGTTTGGGGCTTTTTACCCGTGAATCTTCACTTTGCGACTAAACTATTCACAGCAGTGCCAAATTTTCTGGGTCACTGAATGCGGGTGCCAGCGCCCTACAAGCAAACCAAAAATCAAACCAATGCGACCACTGAAATTACAGCTGGGTCATGTTATAGAGACGTACGTTGAAATTGAAAGGTCAGCACAAATGGTCAAAATCCGACATTTTCTCACCTTTCTGCCCGTTCGAAGCTCAGAAAATGACAATGACCATCCTCATCTCGTTGTGTAGCTGGACATAGAAAATAGAACCATGAAAAAGAGCCACATTTCTCTAAAGAACTCGCCCAGGGCAGCTGAAAGCTGAAAAAGAACCTATCTAGAAGTTTGGGGCTTTTTACCCGTGAATCTTCGCTTTGCGACTAAACTATTCACAGCAGTGCCAAATTTTCTGGTTCACTGAATGCGGGTGCCAGCGCCCTACAAGCGAACCAAAAATGAAACCAATGCGACTACTGAAATTACAGCTGGGTCATGTTATAGAGAGGTACGTTGAAATTGAAAGGTCAGCACAAATGGTCAAAATCCGACATTTTCTCACCTTTCTGCCCGTTCGCAGCTTAGAAAATGACAATGACCATCCTCATCTCGTTGGTTAGCTGGACATAGACAAGAGCACCATGAAAAAGACTAACATTTCTCTAAAGAACTCGCCCAGGGCTGCTGTAAGCTGAAAAAGAACCTATCTAGAAGTTTGGGGCTTTTTACCCGTGAATCTTCACTTTGCGACTAAACTATTCACAGCAGTGCCAAATTTTCTTGTTCACTGAATGCGGGTGCCAGCGCCCTACAAGCGAACCAAAAATGAAACCAATGCGACTACTGAAATTACAGCTCGGTCATGTTATAGAGAGGTACGTTGAAATTGAAAGGTCAGCACAAATGGTCAAAATCCGACATTTTCTCACCTTTCTGCCCGTTCGCAGCTCAGAAAATGACAATGACCATCCTCATCTCGTTGTGTAGCTGGACATAGACAAGAGCACCAAGAAAAAGACCCACATTTCTCTAAAGAACTCGCCCAGGGCTGCTGAAAGCTGAAAAAGAACCTATCTTGAAGTTTGGGGCTTTTTACCCGTGAATCTTCACTTTGCGACTAAACTATTCACAGCAGTGCCAAATTTTTAGAGTCACTGATTGTGGGTGCCAGCGCCCTACAAGCAAACCAAAAATGAAACCAATGTGACCGCTGACATTACAGCT